TGCTCTTGAACATTTAACGAATTCTGCTGTTTTGCTGATACTCGCTCCATGGCTCAGAGCGCCAACAATCATACCACGTTCAAAGGCTGTTAAATCGCGTTGTTTACCCATATCTTCAGAAAAAAATCACTTCTACTGTCGTGGTAAACAACCTGCTTCCCTATTTATAATGGTCTGGCCCTCTAGCAACTTCAGCACGAAATTATAGCTATTTATAGCTAATTTGCCTACAAACGTCAGGTGGTCATAATAATCCGGCCACTCAGTGTATAATAGCATTCAAACTGGAGAAAAAATAGACTAATTACTAATTAATGAGAAATAGCTCTGCAAATTTGTTTTTTAGATACTTCTCTTGTTTTTATACAGTCAAGTATTGTCATATAAAAAGCTCTATATTTTGCATACACTTTTTAATGATAGTTGAAAAAAAATTATGCAAGAATCTAAATATTGAGTCATAAATTATTTTTATTGTGCAGCTTTGCTAATAAAAGGTTATAAGTGCCCAGCTATTTAGCCTTCCTTTCTGCCAAGTCAGATTGTGTCTTGTAGTTGAAGATCACTTGAAGTGTGACATTTACTAACATGTAAACTGCCTGACCTCATTCAATACACATTCTGAATCTAGGGGACAGTGGGGTGGATTTACTAGTAGATGTAGTTCACCTAAGAAAGTAAAAGTTATTAAATAAGCTTGTCCTGTGTTCACTTTGAAGACCCAGTCAAGGATGTGTGATGGTGTATGAGGGTAATTGAAAAACAAAACAAAAAGAAAAAGGAGTTTTGCTTGCATGTGATTGGATAATTGAGAAGAACACACCTTATTCATACACACCTTATTCACTAAGGTTTACTCTGCTAGGTTGACAGCCTCTAATCATTTAACAAATCAACCCCAATGTGTAAGGTCAGCAGTTGACACACCAGCCCTAGGATAAGATGAAGTGTGAGGCTTAGGCAAAGTAAAGCTAAACAGAGTTGAAAATGCAAGACTTTCTTCAATCAAATTCAAAGAAGCACACACAGTTCACCCATAACAAATGTCCTGTATACTTCGTTCGGTGCACGGAAGTCCTATGACTAAGGCCGCTTAGTCCTCCTCTGTCATCAGGAGCTGGATATATGACAGGATATCCAAGGAGGCTGCCAGAGCAGGACATGTTGTTCTTGCCTAGGCAGAAATGGTGGCAGGGGGTGGCCTGGTGTAAAATAAATACATGAATAATCTTTATACCTGTACAGAGGGGGAAAAGGAAGTTCAGGGAGGCAAACCTATTTAGTGGACTGTTGGCAGAACGCTGGGCTAGGAAGTAGAGAAGAACAAACTTGCAATCCAAATTTTACCTCTCTGTGAACCAGGGTATCCATGGGGGTTCCTGGAGTAGTCTGAAGAGTGTACAGGTGAAACTCGAATAATTAGAATATCGTGCAAAGTTCATTTATTTCACTAATGCAACTTAAAAGGTGAAACTAATATATGAAATAGACTCATTACATGCAAAGCAAGATAATTCAAGATGTGATTTGTCATAATTGTGATGATTATGGCTTACAGCTCATGAAAACCCCAAGAACCCCAAATCCACAACCTCAAAAAAGTAGATTATTACATGCAATCAATAAAACAAGGATTGTACATAGAACAATATCGGACCTCTGAAAAGTACAAGCATGCATATGTACTCAGTACTTGGTTTGGGCCTCTTTTGCAGCACTTACTGCAATTACTTTTGCACGATATTCTAATTATTCGAGTTTCACCTGTAGAAAGGATGAAAGTGGCTAAACCTAATGTGAGTCCAGTTAAGCTGGCCATTCACTGTTAATTATTTTTTCAATCAACTTGTGGGCTGAATGGAAAAAATATAACGCTTCCTCCATTCATGCTAAACAGCATGGAAGGACAAATCTCCAGCTGAAAGCGGCAGGTGTGCCACTATCAGAATTCATGTACGGCAGCTTATTGAACGTGATGTCTCGAGAATCCTTTGACTGCTGCAGAGGAGGGGGAGCGAGGCTCCAGTGTGCTAGACTGCATTAGAAATCTGGACCGCGCGTCACTTCCGGTGGTTTCGGCTGAACACACAAGCACAGAGGCACAGTGAACATTACATCAGCTGCCTCAAACAGCTGATTGGGTCCAGAATCTTCACAGACTATTTCCCTATATTGCCCATGTGCGGGCAACGCGCCCATGAAGATTCTGGACTGATCAGCTGTTCCAGGCAGCTGACATAATGCAGATCGGGCCTACCGCACATGTGGGCTTTCTGTTCAGACCTCTTGTGATGTGCCATAAAGTCTTTCAGTAATAAGTGAAGAAATCACCAGCACTCCTGGGTTCCAAGAATGTCAGACCTTGTTTAAACATTGCTATACAATGTGAGACCTGATTGGATGTCAATAAACAAGGTCTGACGTTCTTGGAACCAAGGAGTGCTGGTGATATCTTCTAGTACTGATCTCCAGGCGGCGCCATTCTCGATCACTGCAGGACCCGTTATCCAGTTTTTGGATCCTTTCCAGTTAGAAATGCGATGGGTCATGGACTGAGCTTTACATAAAGTCTTTCAGAACAGATAATTGTGGCGCTCTCATCTCATCCTTCCTATACTCTGTAGGGTAGTCATACTACCGTGTTTCCCCGAAAGTAAGACCTACCCCGAAAGACAAAAAAGAAAATAAGACAGCGTCTTATTTTCGAGGAAACACGGTAGGTGTGCGCAGCCTATTGGATTAGGGTGTGCACACAAAAGTACAAACACATACATCCAGGATTTCCATCTCTGCAACTGTCCCTTACGTCTTCTAGCGGGTGTGCAGTAATTAAGCAGGGAGCCTGGCAGGTGGTCATGTGAGGACCAGAGATGTGCGGTCAGGGGAGACAGAGCCTCACCTTGTATTATGGAGGAAAAAGCTGTCAGCTTCAAGTCTGGAGCTGACAGCTTTTTCTCCATTCAGATCGGCTTGTAACAGGTTACAGAGCAGGGAAAGCCTACACGCCATGTAACCTGTCATGGACGGAGCGCTGCCTATTAATTACAGGCAGTGCTGCCTCCGACTTTTCACAGGTAGTTAGGTTACACAGCAGCAGGCTTCCCCACTGTTCGTGTAACCTAACTAGTGAGGCAAGAGCTGTCACAGCCTCTACTCTGTGTTAGAGACTTGGACCAATGGCAAAGCGCCCCTGGTCCAATCAAAAAAAAACGTACTGAGGCCATCGATCTTGATGCCTCAGCAGTGACGAACAAGGGAGGGACAGGGAGGCTTCTCCCTTCCTTCAACTAGCTTGGTGACCTGGTTAGGGGGAAAGGCTTCGGTGGGCTGGGGGCAGGCCTCACCCAAATCCTAAGGTAGCGCACGTCACTGGTGAGGACTGCGGCTGTGAGGCTCCATTTACACATAGCGGCTTATAGCCGGAACATGCGGAATCCGCCCATAAAATCGTGGTTGGGCTATTTTGCGTGATGCACAATTTTCTACCGTGCGGACACCGCTATAGTCTGAAAAATGCACATTGCAATGCATTATATTTTTATGTTTCTGCGCGTGTTCATACTGTCGAATACGCGTGGAAAACCGCTCATATGTGAATGGAACCTGATGTGAAGTAAGTGGCAAGTGCTGCTGCGCTCTATATCGCTGAGCCAGTCACAGAGAGATCTTTGTGATCTCTGCACCGGCTCAGGCTCCATTTACATATAACGTTTCCATTTCCCGAGCGGCAATGCAAACGCTAAAATCTTTCATCCGCACGGATTATATATATATAGTCAAAAAATTCGCGCTTCGACTATTTTGCGAGCTGTGTGGTTCCCCACATTAAAGTGCATTGTTTTTTCTGTTTAGCGCGGCTCCGTGCGTATACGCATGGACAACCGCGCCTGTGTGAATGGAGCGGATGCTTAGCGTACCTGGGACACCCTGTGCACACACCTATGATGGTAGTTATATCAGATGAAGAGGGCTGCAAGCAGTTGTACACATTTTCTGATTGTGAATGTCAGCTCCTGCTCCTCCTCCCTCCTCTAAAACAGTTGAGTGATGTGCACTGCGTTCACTTCCCCGTGCAGCACACACACGCAGTATCGCTGTATAATGAGAGCCGTTGCATCGCGTATGTAGCAGTCCAGCGACCTGTGACATCGTCAGTCTCCCTCGTCCCCCCACCCTCCCGAGAGCTCTTTCATTCTTTGAATCGCCCGCTCCTGTGGCCAACGATCTCCAGCATTCTTTGTGGCTCCATGTCCCCCTTAGACCATGCCTAATCCCGATTCGTAAGAGAAGCCGCTGCGGGATCATCTACAGGAGCATGCAATTGTGGAATGGAGTTTCCAGCCAGCGGGACTCCTAGTTCACCATCGCAGCCGCTGGATGGATGGGGTATTGATGCTCCATGGTACACAGCTCATGACTGATCGGGACACTTGTTTGACACAGCGATCACCCATAGGGCACAGCGTGTCTCCAGGTAATGGGCAGGAACGCTTCCTGTGACAGGTGCCTTGACTGAACTGAATGCACACCTCTGATCCCACATTTCCTCCAATCAAGGGCAAAGGACATTGACCTGGACCACCAGCCCTACATTTCCAGGATCCAAAGAAACCAAGCATTAGGAATAATCAAGTAGCAGAGCACAGACAGGTAAGAAATCCTCCTTTGTGATGTTGTGGGCTTTTTGTTTGTTTCATTCTATTCACAATAAAATGCTGGCAGTGATTTACCTTCCTGATGGTGCTCCAGCAGCAGAGGGTTAACACCAAGCTGAGAGGTGCTATTCAAGTGTTCCAGGCAGAGATTTCATCCTGTAAGCTGGAGGAGGCATGATTTCCTCTAACCTGTTGTTATAGTGGAGGCAAAGCATCTACACTGTGCTGCTCTCACAGCCTATGTAGAGTTCTTTTCTTTTAATTAGGAAATGTGTTTTTTGGCTTGCACTAGCTAGGTTGTTAGAAGTGTCCAGTAGTTTAGATTTAATAATTTAGCACTCCACAAGCTGCAGTGTATTGAAGTATGGACCTGTTCATCAGTGTGGTTATGGAGCAGGCTTCAGACTCTGTGTCACAAGCAGCAGCCTCTCATCATGGACTGGAAAAACTGTAAGCATTTTACAATTTACTTGCTCCTGTTTTCTCCCCAAATTGCTACAGGGGCCAATCTTGTCTTTACCCAGCTGCTCATTAGCTGGATGGCGAAGGCTGAACCCTATAGCGAGCCTGAGAAGTATGTAACACTCCACAATTTAGGACGTTCTACATTGATTTTCTTTTTTTTTCCTATCCTATGTTATCTCTGTCACGTAATGAAGGCTTAGCTCATTCATGCAGCAGACATTGATGGATGTGGTGGTGGTGGCGGGGGCTTCTTGGGGGTAGCATGTGTTTTGCAAAATCCACTGCTCTAAATGTATTGCTGATTTTTTTTTGGAAGGGAGGAATATGGAGGGATCAGCACATTTCGCATACGAAGTGACAGTCTGTTGATGGAGTGCAATGCTATTTGACAGTTTATTAGAACTGCCCTCCCTAAGGGCAATGCCCATCTGAAATGTCTAACATGAGTGTCAAGATCGCTGTTGATGGTTTAACTCACAGTTGGCAAACATCAGAAAAGAGGTCATTTTGGACAGCTCCAAGGGTTAATGGGCTGCAGTGCTTTCAGCTTTGGTACTGTGTACATGCCACACAAGGCTGAATGGATCGTACCATCTCCTTGTGATGGTATCAAGTATGTTACCCAGCCTCAGTTGTTGAATCCCAACAAATCCTGTGATGCAGAGCTGGTTGCGTGCAAATTGTGGTGATTAAACTCAGCTCACATCTTGTGCTAGAGTTGCATGGTCTCTGAGTAAATGTACATGTGCTAAGCAGTATGACTGCAAGGATTCATGCTTGCTGGTTGAGGTAAATATAGGGTAATGGTGTGAAATGAGCCATGGTTAATATCCTATTAAAATGAATGAAGAAAAAATGAAACAAAAAAGCTTCCTGATGCCAACCAGTAAGGCATATATTTGCTAAATGTTCGGTCATATAGAATATACTAATTAGCTCGGGTCGATAACTTGTCAAAATGCCCAGACTCTAATATAATGCATTCATAATTTTATAAGTACATTTTCAGTCATCAGTTTTTTTTTAAACAATCAGCAGTGGGTTGTGTTTCATTGTAAACGTGGTTAGTATAGGGTTGGCCACACAGAAACAAGAGAAACCCACCTAACCAAAACAATTTACATTACCCGTGGTGCCTATAAGTTCCACTACTGAAAGGCTGGAGGATTCAACGTCTGTAGTGATTTTTGATTTTATTCTTAAATATTAAACATTTTCCAACAGGTTGGTAAATTGTAGCATCCGAATCCCAGATTTATTACTTTGTTGATTTTACCCATTTCTATAGTCCAAATGCTGTTAAATGAATAACATTTGTTCTTGCTTCAAGAGAAGCTTACAGTCTAATTTCCCTAGACTCCCCATCACAATCATACACAAAGAGCCAATTTTGGTAGGAAGCCAATTAACCTGCCAGCATGTTTTGGAATGTGGAAGGGAATAAAAGAGCACTAGAAGGGTGACAATATACAGGTGAAACTTGAATAATTAGAATATCGTGCAAAGTTCATTTATTTCACTAATGCAACTTAAAAGGTGAAAGTAATATATGAGATAGACTCATTACATGCAAAGCAAGATAATTCAAGCCGTGATTTGTCATAATTGTGATGATTATGGCTTACAGCTCATGAAAACCCCAAGAACCCCAAATCCACAATCTCAGAAAATTAGAATATTATATGCAATCAATAAAACAAGGATTGTACATAGAACAATATCAGACCTCTGAAAAGTACAAGCATGCAAATGTACTCAGTACTTGGTTTGGGCCCCTTTTGCAGCACTTACTGCAATTACTTTTGCACGATATTCTAATTATTCGAGTTTCACCTGTATGAGAACACACAAACTCCATGCAGACAATGTGAATTTAAACCCAAGTAACATATCAGCATGTTTTTGGAATGTGGAAGGGAATACGAGCACTAGAAGGATGAGAACATAACTATGAGAACACACAAACTCCAGGCAGATAATGTCACTGGGTGTTTTTAAAACCAGGAGCCACCCAAGTAACGAATCAGCATATTTTTGGGATATGGAAGGGGACAAGAGCACTGGAAGAATGGCTACATAGATATGAGAATACACAAACTCCATGCAAACTCAATGTCACTGGATGGATTTAAACCCAGGTGCCAGAGCTGCAAGTCATTGGTGCTGTCCCTTAGTCCAGAGCCGTAGCTAGCTCCTTTTGTGCCCGAAGCAAGAACAGAAAATTGTGCCCCCCAACATACTTGTGCGATATGTGATGCCATGCGCCTCGCCTCCAGGATAGCAGCGCGCATGCGCAGAATGCACTGGAGGCAAAATCCAAAATAGCACAAAAAATTGTTTTCGTTTTAACGAAAACATTTTTAGTTTCCGTTCATTTAGTTCTAAACAAATTTTTAGTCTTTGCACATGTCTAGTAATATGTTTGCATGAGTGTGTGTTTGTGTGGGGTGTGTTTTCGTTTTTTTGTGTGTGTTTTTTTTATTATTTAATTTTTAACTCTTGGGGGGCTTCAGGGAAATATTAGGGGTCTAAACAGATCCCTGACATTTCCCTTTTGAAAAAGAAAAAGAGATTGAGGACATGGAGTCCTCTGCCCATACAGGCGGGGGAGAGCAGCGGGGATCAGAGGAGAAGATGGAGCCTGTGCTTCTCCCTCCTGAGCCATGGCTGTGTTGGCCGCCTGGCGGCCCTGGCTGCGCCCCCTCTCAGCTGCGCCTGAGGCAAGTGCCTCACTCGTCCCATGGTAGCTACAGCCCTGCTTTAATCTATGTGCTGCCTGCTGGTGCACTATTACCCCTTTTCCCTCCAGGCTTACATTAACCCAGGGCTGGAGAAATCCCAGGAGCCAGGTAGACAAGGCTCTTTAAACATCACAGCTGGTGCCTAACGTTTGAGGTTTTCTCTAGTTGTTGCCAATGGAGCCGGCTCCTAAAAAAATCCTGCTGGCTGCTGGTTTGGACCGACTGGCTCCTGATTTCCATATTCATATGTCCACTCCTGCATTGACCAATTCTTCCAAGTGACACACACAATCACATATTAGCACAACTACTATTTGTTGTAAATGCAAACAGAAAATAGTCAATAGAAATGGTAAATATTCCAAGTACGCAGGCTATTTACTAAACAAACTGTGAGTTTGGTGCTGGCATTTTTATCTGGTTGGGAGTTGGAAATTCTAGTCGTTGATTTGTTTGCGATGTCTACATCGAGAATGATTTCTTTATCGTTTTACATTTCCTGTTTAATGACTATTTCAGAAATGTTTGGTGCTGTTATCAAAGTGTTTCTCGGCTAGTAGGGTGTTTCTCGGCTAGTATGGTGTTTGGCTCCTCGTAGATGCATTATTATTGTTTTTTCGGAAGGTGAAGAATCAGCCAAGGAAAGATCTAGTTAGTATTTTGCCGAACATACACTGACACGGCAGGTCTATTTCAATTCTCTTTGTGAGGGGTCTCCAGCAGTACAGGGGGAATGCTGCAGCATGTATCTAGGCAAAAGCTGTTTTCAGATGATAATGATTTCCAGTAGCTGCTGACCCAGGCCAAGTTCCAACTTGCTTCCTGTAGGTATAAAAACTACATATCTCAGTGCCAATCTATTGAGGCATCAGTGCTGTTACTCATGCTCCGTGTTGCTTCTGCTAGCAGCCAACGATGAGTCATTACATTTGGGCACAGTGGCATACTGATTAAGATGCAGCTTTATCATGAGGAAAACTTTGATCGGGGAATAGTGAGGTGGCTCTTCAAAATAAAGCACAGGTTTCTCACTGAGGCAGACAAAGACTTGAAGAAAGAAGCCTTAAAACCTTAGCAATTGCATGCTTTGGGTTGAATGTGTCATGTCTGGATGACACTGCCAGTTACTCTTGAAAGCCAAATACTATTTTTAAATGGACGTGTTTAAAAGGGAGTTAATTTAAAAAAATTACACACCAAAGCAGTATCACTTAGAAGCAGATATAAAGAAAACACTAAGTACTGCAGTTATTTATTAGAAATCAGGAAATGTATTTTTACCTGCAGCTAGTGCAAGCACCTGAATTGGATTTATATCTGCCTCTTGTAACTTTAAGTACAGTGAAACTCAGACTGGGAGGGGGAGTTGCAGTACTTGAGACCAATTAGGTGTTCTGCATTGCAAGGAACATGCTGACAGGAGAAGAAAGAAGAATTTTGAGTGCATATTCTGTTGCTGATCCTTTACTGTCCAATCACAGGCTGGCAGGTGACCTTACTCCACTGCTTAACTGCAGCCAAAATAAGTCAGGTCATGAGCCTAGTTCTGATCTCCGGCAGGAATGTGTAAATCTCAATGCTGGCTGGACAGAATGACCCCAATAGATACACAGTATAACAATTGTGTGTTTATCTATATGCTTGCAGTGCAGCTTTAGGTTTATCTCAGTGTGTTATGAATTTGAATCTTATGGAATATGACATTTATTCTTTATCCTGCTGACTTGGCTGAAATTTTACCCATGTGTGGCCCCTTCGGGACCCTCCACATCAGTCAAAAGTTGATTTTTCAAACAAATTTTGTCAAAGGAACTGGCTCGGATATTGTTGGCCAAAGAGTGACTGCAACAAATCAGCTGCAGTTACTGTTGGGTATTCCGAGAGAGGCACACCCACTACTGTCAGAATAAAATAGGCTGGCGGGGATGATTTTCCCACCCATGCAGGAAATGTCCTGCTGACCAATGTAACCAGTGTGTGGGCCTTTCAGTATTGACAAATCGACTTTTGTTAAAGCTGCTGGTCCAAAAATTCTTGGCTGAGCAGAGACTATAGCCATTCAGTTGCTTTTTCACTTGCCGCTGTTAGAATACAATAGCCCAGCAGGGATGGATTCCTCCATCCATTCTTTAGCGTTGATTGGGTATTGGAGAGTTTTCCCCGCAGGGCTGAACAAGAAAAAAACTGCCAGTGTATTGCCAGCTTAACTTTAATTTTTTTAACTGGCCTGTGGGAGACGTTCAA